CACAGCCTCAGCCAGACTGAGCATAAAAGCCTCGGTCAGACCTAGCCTGCTCAACCTCAGCCAGACCGAGCATGACAAGCCTCAGCCAGACTAAGTATGACAAACCTCAGCCAGACTGAGCATAAAAGCCTCGGCCAGACCGAGCATACAAAGCCTCAGCAAGGCTGAGCATAAAAGCCTCGGTCAGGCCGAGCCTACTTAGCCTCAGCCAGACTCAACATGACTACCCTCAGCCAGACTGAGCATGACAAGCTTCAGCCAAACCGAGCATGACACAACCTCAGCCAGCCTGAGTTACTTCAAGCCACTGAATTACTTGCTAAGTCAGTTAATCATAGCTTGACCCTAACTGAGCACGCATGCAGAACTCGGTCAAGGCCATTCATGCAGAATTCATGCTTGTGGCATTAGTAGACACACTTGGTCAACATTCCAGGTCCATGCTATTACACCACTCTTTATTTAGCCAAATTCTAAAACTCTTGCAACATGATTTAAAACTACATTTTTGGGAATAATTTGAAACTCCACATCTTTTACATTCTTACATGTTTCCTTTACAAGTCAAATTATTTTCTTACTCTTTCCTTACCAATCAAGCCTAGCTTGAATCAACCCCCCCTCGCTCACTTCAGACTAACCAAAATAAAGACAGAGTGTGGCAAACACAAACTTATAATTTTATTACATTTTCAACTTCACCCTGCATGGAGTTTTTCTTACAAGTTCAACTTCACTTAGCATTGCATTCTTCTTAACTTTACTTTGCATTCAGTTTTTCGTTCATTTCACCCTTGGCTTTGCATTGAGTTTCAAGTCAACATTTTCATTCATCCCATATACACAAGCAAAAACAATGGAATGAAAACACAACTCAAATTTTATTTATTCACAAACTTGTACATACGTTCTTTACAGCAATCCAAAAAAAAAAACTTGTACAACTCACACCAATCACTCTTCCTCACTTGAAACGAGGTCTTCTTCTTCAACACCCTCATCTAGGGGGGTCTGGGCCACGTCATCTTCATCAATCCGTACACCACTCAAGTCCAAGTCTGGGAACAGTTCTTCTGCCTTCCGCTTGAACAACTTCCAGCCACTGTCCCAAAACTCAGCCATTTCGTGTTTGCAGAAGTCCGACCGCTGGAAGCTCTTAATAACTTCTGCTTCAGTCCTGCCCCCAGCTGTCGTTCCCGACGGGCCCGCCCCCCCAGACACCTCTCTTGCCAAGTTGTTGGCGACCGCGGCATCGACCACCATCTGAAATTCAGCAGACCCCTTGAATTGCTCCAAAGTTGCGACATACAGATCGGGGTATGCTGCCCTTTTAGAGGCGGCCTTGGTTTTTTCCTCCTCTAACTCCTTCTCAAATCTCGTCTTCTCCTCCATGTCCTTGGCGCGCTCATCTTCCAACTCCTTCTGCAGTCCAGCAATCTTCAAGTCTGTTTCCTCCTTTTCTTTGATCTGCGGGGCACGCAGCTCTTCATTGCTGGTCATAACCTTTTCAAACCGCTTGGTGGCGACCGCGTAAGCATTTTGAGCATGCTCCAGCTTCTTCTGCTCGCCAGCCAGCTGGAACTCGAGCGACACTACCTTGCGTCGTTCGTCCTCTAGCTCCAACTTGACCGCGAGCAGCTCAGCATGGGCTCGCGTGGCAACATTGCGCTGCACGATCGCCAGTACCTCCATCTTCTTGGCCTTTTCAGCCTCTTCCAACCCCCTTGGACAAATGCTCCGTGCGGTCCTCCTCCACCCCGCAGTTTCACTCCTTAAACTTGCAAGTTGGGCCTTCGCCTCCTCCAACTTGGTCTTCCCAGCCGCCACCTTTCTCAGCAGAGCTCCTGTTAAGGTGTTCACCTCCATTTGGGCGGAGCACAACCCCCTCAGCAGCTTAGCCTCATTGAGCCTGGCCATCGAGCGCACCGCTACGTCGTCTACAATCCCCACAAGGCGATCTGCAGTTGCCCTGGCCGGGCCTTCTTCTCCCTCCAGCCGCCTAGCCACTGCACGAGCGTGGTAGTTAGCAGTTATCAGCCTGACCCCTTCTCCTTGGGGCGCAGGGTCCCCCTTTGGCTGCTGCTCCATCACTTCCTTAGAACTAGCTGACCCACTCTCCACTGACACTTTAGGCATGGCACTCAGGTGCTCTTCTTCCTCCTGGCCTCCTTGGCCTTTGTCCCCTTCCATGTTTGGGACAACCACACTTTCTGGGGTCGCCTCCACTCCCTTTTCCCTTGTTGCGGTTGACTCCTCCACCATGGGGGTAACCTCCTCCCCAACCCTCACCCTCTTCAAACCAGGCTCACCTAAGGTCCCTTCAGGGCGAACCCTCATTTCTTCTTCTTCTTCAAAGCCTTTGCCTCCCTGTCTGCCCTTTCCTTCACCAGATCCACGAGAGGCGGTCGTGGCTCAAAACTGCCCAAATCTTTTTACCCCAGTGGCTTGGGGTGCGGTCGGATTCTTTCCCTCACGACCGGTTTTGGTGGTGGGCCTAACTGCGCCTCCTTGAATTTTTGGGCTTTGGCAAAAATGGTCCAATCTTCCGCCTCCTGCGCCTTTCTTCTTGCCTCTAGTTCTTCCGGTGCCAGATCTCCACCGGTCGGCTCAGGGCCTAATCCTGCGGCAAACAAAGCGAACGGCTGGACGAGATCGTCCCTCTTGACGCCCTCCTTGTCCCTTCCGACCTGTCACCTTGGCCAAAAGTCTATGTTGTAGCTTGCCTTGTTCAAGGTGAGTGCGTGTTGTCCTGCCGGAGAGGTGTTGTCGTAACAAATACAGTGAGGGGCTGCATTAATGGCGATGTGTAGTGCCAATAACTTTGCAGATCTTTGTTTGCTGATGTGGCTTGCCCTTTACCTGCCATGTGTCTGAACATCATTGGTCCTTCATGCCATACTGACTTCCAGATGGTGCTGGGCCTTATCAGTTGAGTTATGTATTGGGCCCTAAGTGGTGGGCTTGAGTTGTTCATGGTGGACTATAGCCTTTATGGGCCTACCCATGTCAAGTTGTATATTTAAATAATTTAATCGAAGTACTGAGAAATTAGACACACTAATTGATTTTTTGGGTGTAATAGAAACGCATCAAATAAGCTCAATTTTTTTATTGCTTGAGGCTCAATTTAAGAGGTCCCAAAAAATTTCTGTCGGGCCCAATCAATATGTAAGTATTATTAGGCTTGATTAAAATTTTATATATTCAGTCCAAACAAATTAAAATATTTATAAATATATATTATATAATTAGTCTAAATGAAGTCTCATGTCAACAACCCCCCACCTTACCCAAAACAAAAACTTTTTTTTTCCTCTCTCTCTCTCTCTCTCTCTCTCTCTCTATATATATATATATATATATATATCTATATATATATATATAAGATTTTAATAGAATAAACAACTTTGTCTTAATTTTTTTGCCTTCTCTCCTTATCATATTTTAATTGAATAATTTTATCCTAACTTCTTTATCTTAATTTTGTTTGTCATAATTGTTTTGCCCTCTCTCTTTATCATAGTTTAAGTGAATAATCTTTCCCCTAGTTTTGTTTGTCCTGATTTTGTTCCAATAATTTGTGTTTCGCTATCAGATAGTCAATGGATTGTGATTTATATGAATTATGATTGTATTATTAGATATCAATGTATAATGTTAGTTGTGTTGATTATTGCTAAATTATACAATAAGATCATATTTTATCTTTTTTTAATATTTGTAATGATTTCTCCGTTTCTTAATATATAAAAGTAAATTTTAATTTATAATTTTAATGATTATAACTATAAGGAAACTTTTTGGGACTACTAACCATTAAAAAAATAAAAATTAATATGTATCAAACCACATATTAATCAAATTGTATTTTTTTATTTTTTTACATCTTAAACATTTTCCTTAATTATATGACCTCTTCCTTGTAGATTTCTTTGGATGCTCTTTTATTCCAATTTCATCAGTTTTCCATTCAACTCCTGAAATAACTACAAAATATAAAAATAAATAAAATAAGGCTATATTAAATATAAAATAGGCCTAATAAAATATAATTTAAGAATATAAAATATGCACAATAATAGACACCAGTAAATTTTTTCGCTGCGCTATTAGTTTAAGAGATTGTTTGTGATAATCTAAATAAGTGTATTTTTAAAATTTTTGCAAAAAGATATACAAAAAAGTAGAGAAGTGATTTAGGGATGCCAAACAAACTCTCAATTCCTAGAATACTCAGTAATTAGACCATCTCCAACCAAGACTCAAATCTTTTATCAAATTTGTTGAAAATTTGCTGAAAAAGATGTTCCAATCATTTCACCAAATTGATATCAAATGAAGGAAGTCCTACTTTTTTTTTTTATCAAATTAAGGAAACGTTTAACCTATCATCAAATCTCACAAGTGACCATTGGTGGACGACCAGATAGATGTTCAGGCGTCAATTAGGTGGACGACCGGATTAGGAAAAATTTGAAGAAAATTTACGTTAGGCCAGACGACCATCCAGATATCCTCCCGGTCATCCTTTCAGTCAACCAGTTATTCGATAAAAATTAAAAATTTAGCATTAAAATACTTGATACCAAATAAAAATTTTAATCCAAATTTTACTAAAATTTAACCAAAAAAAAAAAGAGGTTCAAAATAATCCTAGTCATACAATTTGGTACCTATCACTACCGGCTGAAGTGGTGACAAGTTGTACATTCTTAATAATAAAACATCCACAGCAGCCAATCAATTGGCCCAGTTGCTGAAACAAAGTCTGTACATTGTACATTGTACACACAAACTATCCACATCAGTGATTGACCAACACAGTACAATGTATATTATACAGAAAATATCCACATCGGCTTCACATGCTTTTTTTTCTTTTTCTTTTTATCACATGGCATGAAGATCAACTATCTTCATCATCTGCTGGTATAAATTGAGAATGATGGTGGATCAGTCCCTTTAAACCTACCATTGATATGAATTTTTCCACTTTGAAAATGCCTAGTTTCTCCCCCAAATCCAAAACTAACTACCATGTTCGATCCATTAGCTCTCAGGCTCGATCACACCCAACCACACTCCGAATCGAACAAGAGCTCAACAAACTCAAGATATGGAAATCATCATCCTCGTCATCAAATGCAGAGACCATTCGCATTGGCTTAACTGGCCTCGGAGATCTGTACATATGCATTGAACAACTTCTTGCTCTGCCACTCACCCAACAAGCTCAAAAACACCAAAAATGGGTGATCAAATTGTTAGAAGAGTCCGTTAAATACATAGATATATGCAGCAACACGAGGGATTCAATTTTGGAAATAAAGTCAAATCTTCAAACCCTTCAATCCGCTCTTCGAAGAAGAAAAATCGGTATTGCTATCAACGATTACAAGTGCTCTAGTGAGAAGATGAAGAAGGAAGTTTCGAAATCACTCGCGGAATTGAAGAAATTCAATAGCAAATTACAGGTCTCTAATCTATCAGATTCAGATGAGAACATGTTTGCAGTGGTTAGAGAAGCGAGTTTGATCACGATTTCAATCTTCGAATCGCTCTTGTTGTTTCTTTGCGCGCCATTGGGGAGGCCGAGGACTAGAAAATGGTCATTGGTTTCGAAAATGGCAAGCGGAGAAGATTTGATGTTGTACTGTTCAGAGAGAGATGGTGAGGGGGAGAGGATTGAATGTGTACAGGGAAGGTTGGAGGATTTGAATGCAAGTATTGAAGGAATTGAGAGTGGATTGGATTGTCTTTTTAGGCATTTGATCCGCACAAGAGTCTCTCTTCTTAATATACTTTCCAATTAGGACTAACACTGTAATTTTAATGGCGGCGTAGATTATTTGTGTCTATAGAGATGTGTACATAAATCACAATGTATATTGTATTGTATAGTAACGAGAATGATATTCGATGTCTTGACTAGTTTAAAATCAACGCTGTTCTTGCATTCTTTGTTTTATTATTATTTTCTCATAAAACAATTTATAAATAAGTCTGACTTAAAATAAATCTTAAATTTTAAAGCTAAGGCTCATGGGTTTTAACAGTCTACAACTTAGGATTAGACTAACCGGTCCTAACCTCTTAATATTCAAGTCCTTATGGCTTAAAAACATAAGGTTAGGCTTTGGGCCAGACTTGACCCATATGAACTTGGACTTTAATTTTTAAAAGTAAGTTAATTAATTAATTACAAATTAATAGAAAGAGATATTATTATCATAATATAAAATTTTAAAATTGAATTACATATTAAATGATGAAAAAAAAACTATTTATTGAAATATATTATTACATCAATACATTTATTGTTATTAATTTCATAGTTTGTGTGATATTCTTCTTTTTTTTAAAAAAAAAAAAAAATTATCTTGTTTTATTACAGAGTAATACTAGCTATCATAAAATAAATATGGGCACTTACCAATAAGTCTTATACACAAAATTCAAAATCTATCTAATCCTAACACTACAAAAAAAAGTCACTTTTAGTGACTAAAATATTGGTTGCCAATTGCCTATTTTTTGGTCGCCAATGACATTCTATTGACCAAGAATTTTGGGCGCTACGTTTGTCGCCAAAACCCTATTGGGAAAGGCTTGGAGGGTTTTGCCAACCAAAAAATCTTTGGTCGGCAAAAAACAAGTCTTTAGCGAACCAAAATTTTGGCCACCAATAGTCAATTATATTTCTTTAAAATTATACATTTACCGAACAATATTTTAGTCGCCAATAGTCAAGGAATCACCGACCAACACCTTTCGTCGCCAAAAGCAACTAATCGCCGACCAACACCTTTAGTCGCCAAAAACTTCAAACATGAAACAAATAATAATAATTCGCTGTAGAACAATTTGATCCACTCTTGTGGAGACTCGAACCACCAACCTCCCACACCATAATAATCCTAACACTACAAAAAAAAGTCACTTTTAGTGACTAAAATATTGGTTGCCAATTGCCTATTTTTTGGTCGCCAATGACATTCTATTGACCAAGAATTTTGGGCGCTACGTTTGTCGCCAAAACCCTATTGGGAAAGGCTTGGAGGGTTTTTCCAACCAAAAAACCTTTGGTCGGCAAAAAACAAGTCTTTAGCGAACCACCAACCTCCCACACCATAAACTTCATGCACCAAACTCTTCCCACTACGCCTCTATACCACCACATAATTATATATGTGACATATATTATTTATATAATACATACATCCATATTAATATAAAAGTATATGTATAAACATAATTATTTTATTTAACATAATTTATGTAAAATAAACTATTTAGTAGATAAATAAAAGAAGACCACTTTTGGCGACTAAGCATATTTTTTAGTCGCCAATTCTATACTTTTGGCTACTAATTGTTTTTTAGTCGCTAAAAGACTTAACTTTTGCCGACCAAAGTCAGATTTGGTCGCCGAAGATGCACTTTCAACTACTAAAATTTTGGTTTCCAAAAAATTTAATTCTCGCCTTAGGATTTTAGTTTTCCGCGCTATGTTAAACTCATTAAAGACTTGCCGGAATATTCAACATCACTAGGAAGTCGCCGGAGCATCACCGAAAGTTTGTCGGAGTGTTTTGAGTATCGCCAGAAGTTCACCGAAGTGTTTTGAGCATCACTGGAAAATGTCAAGAACATCATCGAAAACTCACTAGAATATTCAAAATATTGCCTTAAAAAAAAGATTAAATGGAGAAATTATAGTTAAAAAACATAACAACAACAAACAACAATAGGAAAAAGTATATATTATTTTTCAATTTTTGTAGGGTTTAAGCAAATAATCTGTAATATTGATCAAACTGAAAAGTAAGCTTTGAAACTGTAAAATATTACAGTTTCAAAGCATTATTCTATTAAGCTGGAAAACATGTTATGAAACTTCAAAATTTAACAGTTCTAAAGAATGTTTTAAAATTGCAAAATTTTGCAGTTTTAAAGCATGATTCATTTCAGTGCCAAAAAAGCTGAAACTGTAAAAATTTACAGTTTTCACCGCTTGTAACTAAAAATTAAAAACAACTTATTCAGAATTTGAAATTTTTCTCCATTAAAATAGAAAAATAGACGTGTGTAACAGAGAAAATGTAGAAAAATCGAGAAATCAAAGGAAATGATAGATATAGAACGAATATTGTACTCCGGTAACTATTTTTGGTTTAGATCTAATTGGATCTCATGTAGATCTATTCAAATCTGATGTAGATCTCATCTTCTTTTTTTTTCGTTGGTGAGGATGAAGTCACAAGTTAATGTTGGTGGTTGGTGGTTGTTCGTAAACCCCAATCAATGTGGTCGTCGGTCACCAGTGACTATGTATTAGAAAGAGAAAGAAAGTAAGGAATGTGTGATCACCGGTCATTGGATATGACAAAGAGAAGGAAAAGAAAAAGAAAAGAGAGAGAGAGAGAGAGAGAGAGAGAGAGAGGAAAACGTGTAGGACTTTTAGGTCTACTCCAAAAGTTGTTGGATTCAGAAGATAATCATTTGTGAACATATCTTTACACAATCGTTACTCACAGAGTTCGGGCTACAGTATGCTAGAGCGTGTCTCCCCAGTCGCCAACCCTACACAGTTAACAGATTGAACACACTAAGCTACATAGTTGAAAACGTGTAGGACTTTTAGGTCTACTCCAAAAGTTGTTGGATTAAATAGTGTACACATATTTCAAACAGGACCTACGGGTAATATCCCCAAAAAATATCATGAAAATTTTTTATGAAGATTCTTCACTATTAGATTACACACACAATAAAACACCACACACTAATCAAACAATGAAAAATCTTTATAAAATATTTTATGATATTTCTTTCATTATATCTAATATTATTCTTTATTAAAAAAAAAACATATGTAACAAAAAGATGAGTGAGATAAAGGAAGACAGTAATACAACTTTTTTTTTTAGATGGGCATATGAGTTGGACTTCGAAATAACCCATTGGAACGGGCCTCACCCTCGAACTCAAGCTTATTCCATATATTTTAAGGCCGAACCTAGGCTAAGCTAAATCTTAATAAACAATCTTGTTCGACACTAGAAGGCCAAACAAGCTGACTTGGATCTAATTTTCATTTCGTCCTTCTCTTTCTTCAACTTGGACCCAATATGCTTCTTCTTCAGTAATTAACAATGAAACACTGAGAAGAGAATAACATGCCTGAGACATGCCTAAAAATGGCTGGAAAGAAGATGTCATAGCTGAGATGATAAGAATGAGAGTTTTTTTTTAATTGATTTTATATTAAAGTTATTATTTGGCTATACCATAAAATTAAAATATTATATATTTTAGGGTAATTTATGGAAATTAATAGGTGTATGGAGGATAAATTATATATTTAAATAATTTAATAGGAGTACTGAGAAATTCGACATACTAATTGATTTTTTGGGTGTAAATATAGAAACCCCTACCCCACCCAATTTGTTAATTCTATATTATATTAAAACTTGAAATAGGCTCAATTTTTGTTTTATTGCTTGAGACTCAGTTTAAGAGGTCCCAAAAAAATTCTATTGGGCCCAATAAATATATAAGTATTGTTAGGCTTAATTAAAAATTTACATATTCAATCCAAAAAAATTAATATATATATATAAATATATATTATATAATTAGTCCAAATAGAAAACCTACAACCTCTCCATGAATGAATAAAATAATTATAGAATAAGGATAAAGAACAAAAACAAAGAGAAGAAGAAAGATAGAGACATACCACACACCCAAAAGTTATTCCTTGTTTGCAAACCCCCTTTTTCTTTTTCTTTTTTTTCTTCTTTTCTCTCTCTCTCTCTCTCTCTCTCTCTCTCTCTCTCTATATATATATATATATATATATCAGATTTTAATAGAATAAAGAACTTTGTCTTAATTTTTTTTGCCTTCTCTCCTTATCATATTTTAATTGAATAATTTTATCCTAATTTCTCTATCTTAATTTTGTTTGTCATAATTGTTTTGCCCTCTCAACTATCACAGTTTAAGTGAATAATTTTTCCCCTAGTTTTGTTTGTCCTAATTTGTTCCAATAATTTGTGTTTTGCTATTGGATAGTTAATGGATTGTGATTTATATGGATTATGATTGTGTAATTAGATATCAGTGTATAATGTTAGTTGTGTTAATTATTGCTAAATTATAAAACAACAAGGTCGTATTTTAACCCTTTTTAATATTTGTATTGATTTCTCCCTATCTTATTATATAAAAGTAAATTTTAATTTATAATTTTAATGATTATAAGTGTAAGGAAACTTTTTGGGACTACTAAACATTAAAAAAAAATTAATATATATCAAGCCACATATAAGTCAAATTATGATTTTTTTTTTTTTTTGGGGTAGATCTTAAACATTTTCCTTAATTATATGATCTCTTCCATGTAGATTTCTTTGGATGCTCTTTTATTCCAATTTCATCAATTTTCCATTCAACTTTTGAAATACCAACAAAATATAAAAATAAATAAAATAAGTCTAAATTAAATATAAAATAGGTCTAATAAAATATAATTTAAGGATATAAAATATGCACAATAATAGACGCCATTAAATTTTTTCGCTACGCTATTAGTCTAAGGGATTGTTTGTGATGATCTAAATAAGTGTATTTTTTAAATTTCTACAAAATGATGTACAAAAAAGTAGAGAAGTAATATCACTCAATAAGTACACTTATTTAGGAGATGCCAAACAAACTCTAACTTACCAGAATACTCAATAATTAGACCATCTTCAACCCAAACTCAAATCTTTCATCAAATTTAAATTTGATGAAAATTTGGTGAAAACGGTATTCTAACTGTTTCACCAAATTGGTGTTAAATTGAGGGAATCCTATTTTTTTTTTATCAAATTAAGTTTCATCAAATCTTGCAAGTGAACATTAGTGGACGATCGGATAGATGACCTATCGATTAACCGGGTAGACGATTGAATTGGGAAAAAATTTGAAGAAAATTTACACTTCAAATTTACACTAGACCGGTTGATTGTCATGGCATCCTCCTGGTCGTCCTTTCAATAAACTGATTGTTTGATAAAAATTAAAAATTTAACATTAAAACGCTTAATATCAAATAAAACTTTTAACTCAAATCTTTACTTAAATTTGATACCTACTAATATGGATTGTGTTGACTGAAGTGGTGACAAGTTGTACATTACATAGAAAATATCTACCTCGGCCAATCACTTGGGACAGGTGCCGTACATGACACACAAAAATATCATCAGCCAACCACTTGATACATGTACTGACAACAAAGTTTGTACATTGGATGTATATTGTACACAGAAACTATCCACATCAGTGATTGACAACAAGTGATTAGGCAACACAGTACAACGTACATTACACAGAAAATATCCACATCGGCTTCACATGTTTTTTTTTTCTTTTCTTTTTCTTTTTTTCACATGACATAAAGATCAACCATCTTCATCATCTGCTGGTATAAATTGAGAATGATGGTGGATCAGTCCCTTTAAACCTACCATTGATATGAATTTTTCCACTTTGAAAATGCCTGGTTTCTCCCCCAAATCCAAAACTAACTACCATGTTCGATCCATTAGCTCGCAGGCTCGATCACACCCAACTGCACTTCGAATCGAACAACAGCTCAACAAACTCAAGATATGGAAATCATCATCCTCTTCATCAAATACAGAGACGATTCGCATTGGCTTAATTGGCCTTGGAGATCTGTACATATGCATTGAACAACTTCTTGCTCTGCCACTCACCCAACAAGCTCAAAAAAGCCAAAAACGGGTGATCAAATTGTTAGAAGAGTCCGTTAAATACATAGATATATGCAGCAACACAAGGGATTCAATTTTGGAAATGAAGTCAAATCTTCAAACCCTTCAATCCGCTCTTCGGAGAAGAAAAATCGGTATTGCTATCAACGATTACAAGTGCTCTAGTAAGAAGATGAAGAAGGAAGTTTTGAAATCACTCGCGGAATTGAAGAAATTCGATAGCAAATTATAGGTCTCTAATCTATCAGATTCAGATGAGAACATGTTTGCAGTGGTTAGAGAAGCGAGTTTGATCATGATTTCGATCTTTGAATCGCTCTTCTTGTTTCTTTGTGCGCCATTGGGGAGGCCGAGGACTAGAAAATGGTCATTGGTTTCGAAAATGGCGAGCGGAGAAGATTTGATGTTATATTGTTCAGAGAGAGATGGTGAGGGGGAGAGGATTGAATGTGTACTGGGAAGGTTGGAGGATTTGAATGGGAGTGTTAGATTTAATGTATAGATGTATAGACAAAGAGGGAATTGTGTATATGAATGTTATATTGATATATTCAATGTGATACATAAGGAGAAGTTTACTTTTCTTTATAGAGAGAAAAGTATGTTCAGTGTTGTTAAAGGAACCGAAAGTAAAGACATCATGATTACAGCTTGGACACTTTACAGCTAATAACACTAACAGCTAATAACATATAATACATTAATAGCCCCCCTCAAACTCAAGGAGGATAGGCACAAACCAACTTGAGTTTGGAGAGAGTAACAAAACAGGAAAATAAACTAAAAATAAAATAGGATAGGAGACACTATATGGTCGTGTCAGATCATTGTTGAAGACACTGTGTGGTCGTGTTAGACCGATGTAGCAGCTAACCGAAATCAATATCAAAACAGTTTACGAGGTCATGCCGGACCGATGTAGAAACTAACCGGAATCAATGTCGGGACAGTTTACGGGGTCATGCCGGACCGTTGTAAAAGCTAACCGGAATCAATGTCGGGACAGTTTACGGGGTCATGCCGGACCGTTGTAAAAGCTAACCGGAATCAATGTCGGGACAGTTTACGGGGTCATGCCGGACCGTTGTAAAAGCTAACCGGAATCAATGTCGGGACAGTTTACGGGGTCATGCCGGACCGTTGTAAAAGCTAACCGGAATCAATGTCGGGACAGTTTACGGGGTCATGCCGGACCGTTGTAAAAGCTAACCGGAATCAATGTCGGGACAGTTTACGGGGTCATGCCGGACCGTTGTAAAAGCTAACCGGAATCAATGTCGGGACAGTTTACGGGGTCATGCCGGACCGTTGTAAAAGCTAACCGGAATCAATGTCGGGACAGTTTACGGGGTCATGCCGGACCGTTGTAAAAGCTAACCGGAATCAATGTCGGGACAGTTTACGGGGTCATGCCGGACCGTTGTAAAAGCTAACCGGAATCAATGTCGGGACAGTTTACGGGGTCATGCCGGACCGTTGTAAAAGCTAACCGGAATCAATGTCGGGACAGTTTACGGGGTCATGCCGGACCGTTGTAAAAGCTAACCGGAATCAATGTCGGGACAGTTTACGGGGTCATGCCGGACCGTTGTAAAAGCTAACCGGAATCAATGTCGGGACAGTTTACGGGGTCATGCCGGACCGTTGTAAAAGCTAACCGGAATCAATGTCGGGACAGTTTACGGGGTCATGCCGGACCGTTGTAAAAGCTAACCGGAATCAATGTCGGGACAGTTTACGGGGTCATGCCGGACCGTTGTAAAAGCTAACCGGAATCAATGTCGGGACAGTTTACGGGGTCATGCCGGACCGTTGTAAAAGCTAACCGGAATCAATGTCGGGACAGTTTACGGGGTCATGCCGGA